CAAATTCTACCAGATGTACAGAGCTGGTAGAAGTCCCACAGAAACCATTCCAAAAATCTGAGTTGAAAGGACTCCTCCCTAACTCATTCTATGAGGCCAACATCATCCTGATACCAAAACTGGCAGAAGCACAACAAAAAAAGAAAACTCGAGGCCGGCATCCTTGAAAAACATAGGTGCAAAAATTCTCAACAAAATACTGACAAACTGAATTCAGCACCACTCAAAGAGCTAATTCACCAGGATCAAGTGGATGTTATCCCTGGGATGCAAGGCTGGTTCAACATACACAAATCAATAAATATGACTCATTTCATAAACAGAACTAAACACAAAATCACACAATTATCTCAATAGAAACAGTACAGGCTTTAAATAAAATCAATATCCCTTCATGTTAAAAATCACTCAATAAACCATGTATTGCAGAAACCCCTGAAAATAATAAGAGCCAGCTATAATAAACCCACAGCCAACATTATACTGAACAGGCAAAAGCTGGAAGCATTCCCCTTGAAAAACAGCACAAGACAAGAATGCCCACTCTCAACATTTCTATTCAACATGGTATTGGAAATCCTTGCCAGAGCAATCAGGTAAGAGCAAGAAATGAAGGGCATCCAAATAGGAAGAGAGGAAGTAAAACTATTCCTGTTCTCAGACAACATGATTTTATATCTAGAAAACCCCACACTCTTGGCCCAAAAGCTCCTTCAACTGATAAACAACATCAGTGAAGTTTCAGGATACAAAATCAACATACAAAAATCACCAGCATTCCTATACACCTATACACAACACCCAAGCTGAGAGCCAAGTCAGGAATGCAATTCCATTTATGATAGCCACAAAAACGATAAAATACATAGGAATACAGTCAACCAGGGAGGTGAAAGATCTCTACAAAGATAATCGCAAAACATTGCTTAAAGAAATCAGAGATGACACAAACAAATGAAAAAATTCCATGCTCATGGATCAGAATAATAGATATCATTAAAATGGTCATATTGCCCAAAGAAATTTACAGATTTAATACTATTCCTATCATACTACCAATGACATTCTTCACAGAACTAGAAGAAAACTATTTTAAAATTCATCTAGAACCAAAAAATTACTCCAAATAGCCAAGGCAATCCTAAGTAAAAAGAGCAACACTGGAAGCATCATATTACCCAACTTCAAATTATACTACAATATCCAGAATAACAAGGTACTGTTAAAAAAAAAAAAAAAAGAGCAGACACATAGACAATTGGAACAGAATGGCCCAATGCAGACACATAGACCACTGGACAGAAAGCCCAGAAGCAGTGCTGCACAACTACACCCATCTGATCTTCAACAAAGCTGACAAAAACAAGCCATAGGAAAAGGACTCCCTATTTAATAAATGGTGCTGAGATAACTAGCTAGCCACATGCTGAAGATTGAAAGTGGATCCCTTCCTTATACCATATACAAAACTCAATTCAAGATGGATAAAATACTTACATTTAAAACCCCAAAATATAAAAAACCCTGGAAGATAACCTAGGAATTACCATCCTGGACATAGGAGTGGGCAAATATTTCATGACAAAGATGCCAAAAGCAATGCAAAACAAAACAAAACAAAACCAAACAAACAAACAAAAAACTAATTAACTGTAAGAGCTTTTGCACAGTAAGAGAAACTATCAACAGAGTAAACAGATAATCTACAGAATGGGAGAATATTTTTGCAGACCATGCATTTGACAAAGGTCTAATATCCGGCATCTGTAGGAAACTTAAACCAATTAACAAGCAAAAAACAACCCCATTAAAAAATGGACAACGGACATGAACAGACACTTTTCTTGTTTTATTTATCAATTTTAATTTACTTCTTATCCATTTGGAGTGGCAAATAATGGCCAAAGAAATTGTAATTATAAATTAAAGAACACAATTTAGCAAGGAAAAGTAAGTGAAAATAACACAAAAATGTATTATTCTTTTACTTTTGTCATTAAGCAACAAACATATTTCTGATAATTTGTCAAATATTTTCTCTTTGAATTAATAGTTAATCTTATTTAAAAGGGTATATTATGTTTTTTAAAATTTTATTTTAAATTCAGGAGTACACATGCAGGTTTGTTACATAGGTAAACTTGTGTAATGTGGGTTTGCTGTAAAGATTATTTCTTCACTCAGGTATTAACCCTAGTGCCCATTAGTTATTTTTCCTGATCCTCTCCCTCTTCCCACCCTCCATCCTCCGATAGGCACTAATCATTAGAGAAATGTAAATTAAAACTACAGTAAGATATCATCTCATACCAGTCAGAATGGCTATTACTAAAAAGTCAAAAAATAACAGATGCTGACGAGGTAGTGGAGAAAAGGGATCACTTATACACTGCTGATGGGAGTGTAAATTAGTTCGACCATTGTGAAAGATAGTATGGTGATTCCTTAAAGACCTAAAACCAGAAATACCATTCGATCCAGCAATCCCATTACCGGGTATATACCCAAAGGAATATAAATCTTTCTATCAAGAAGACACATGCATGCATCTGTTCACGGCAGCACTGTTCGCAATAGCAAAAACATGGAATCAACCTAAATGTCCATCAGTGGTAGACTGGATAAAGAAAATGTGATACACATACACCATGGAATACTATGCAGCTATAAAAAAGAATGAGACGATGTCCATTGCAGGAACATGGATGAAGCTAGAGGCTATTATCCTTAACAAACTAATGGAGGAACAGAAAACCAAATACCACATGTTCTCATTTATAATTGGGATCTAAATGATGAGAACACATGTACAAATAGAGGAGAACGACAGACACTGGGGCCTACTTGAGGGTGGATGATGGAAGGAGGGGCAGGATCAGAAAAACATAACTATTTAGTACCAGTCTGAATACCTGGGTGATGAAATAATCTATACAGCAAACCCCTGTGACATGATTTTACCTATATAACAAACCTGCACATGTAGCCCTGAACCTAAACATTAAAAAAAATCAAACTATATTGTTACATTATTAGTATGATTTATAAACAATGTTGTTTTAGGATAAATAATTTAATTGTTTGGCAATTGCAAATTATTAAATTAAATATCAATATGTTAGGGAGTATAATTCAAATGATGTAAATATTTAGGCTCTAACGAAAGGCAGCCATATATTATTTACCTCACCTCAAAAAGGGGTATCATTTCCATTCCCTTGATTTTAAGGTAAATTAAGAGAAATTTGTAAAGCACTCAAAAGAAAATTCAATTCAATATGTGGTGGACAGTTGAGAAATTATGTGTTATCTACGTCATGGAAAAGCAACTTTTAAAAAGAAAACATTTCCTCTGAGGTTTTCACAAATAAATAAAACTGTGAACCCTCGTATGTACTGTGAAAGGACGATTTGAGGAGCATCTCTGATTAGCAGCAGGTTGATTATTCTTTCCTCATTTCATGTTATACTTAGTAAAACAAACCATACTTGTATATACACACATTCACTCACACTGAAGATGCAAGATGAAGAAAGGTACATGACATTGAATGTACAGTCAAAGAAAAGGACTTCTACCCAAACAGCTCAACTTACATTTAAAGGTATAGAATTTAATTTCGTTTTTCAATTGGTGTGAATTAACATAGTAGTTTTCCACATTCTCTTCTATTGTGTTATTGGACTGTTTCATTATTTGGGTGCTTTTTTTTCTCTGTCTCTGTATCTTTCTTCCCTTCCCTCTCTTTCAATATTAATAATGATTTAAAAATAACAACCAGTCTTACTATTTAAGAAACACCAGTTGCAGGCACTATACAGAGTGTTTTATCTATGTTCCTTCATTTAATGTTACAAATTTCCCATGAGATACTCTCTCTCTCCCCCTCTCTCTCTCTCCCATTTATCAATGTGGAGTTAATGCTTACTTGTAATATCTTGTCTGATGTAATTTCTTAAGGACATTCTCTGAGGAAATATGCACACTTAATTAAAGTTAATAATTTCAAATCAGTGAATATTTGGTGCCATTCACCTCCTTA